TCGAGAAGAATGAGATGGGCTGGGCATGTAGCGCGCATGGATGGGACAAGAGGTGTGCACCGGGTACTGGTTGGGAAACCTGAAGGGAAGAGACCGCTGGGGAGACCTAGACGTAGATGGGAGGATAATCTCAGGCGGGATCTATGGGAGATAGGAGTTGAAGGAAACTAGATTTTGTTGGCCCAGGACAGGGTCCGGTGGAGGGCTTTGGTTAATTCGGTGATGAACCTTCGGGTTCGGTAAGCCATCTAGTTAGTTAGTTTTATTCTGTACTTTGAGAATTCCCTGGAACTATCCAAATTCCTACTATACAGTAATTTTCTTATCACAGTTTGGATCACAACATAGCTGCCCATACAAGTAATATTTGTCCAAAACTTTTTTCTATGATATAGTTTGCATTTCACCTGCAACACTCATTTTAAACACTTTTTGCTATTCTGATGAACAGTCAGTAATGTTACTTATAGCTGAAGAACTGTGTGACTTGTCACAATTTTCAAGGTCAATATACCAATATTCAACACATGTCAAGCACACATGAAAACTGTTAAGGATAGAGGTCTTTAAATTTTACACGTAAAAAAATAATTAGACCACCTTAGACATGAATGATGAACAATGAGAAACACTGCATGATGCAATCAGAGGAACCACTATTATATGATGCAATGGCTGCCTACTGCACAGTGATGCAATACACAAAATAAAATTTCATCACATTTACTTCAAATTTGCTAAAAAGCAAAAGGAGCCTTAAAATTCACAGCTATACACAGACAGTACTTCACTGGCAGAACTATGCATGTCAATCCAGTAAACTATGAGAATGTTTTGTTTGCAAATTCTCATTCTGAAAGCAACCCCTTGAAAGTAATAATCAAATATCAGACCCCACATTGTGAACATGTGTGTTAAGTATACTGGGCAACACATAAAATAATAAATATAAAAAAATGACTTATATATGACTTCAGAGAGAAATGGTTACCTACAGCTGGATAATATCAAGTAATAGTATTAAAATCATTATCTTTGGTCTGTGGACACAGAAACAAAGTACATTCTCTTACTTAACATCAATTATTTACTAATGTAAGTACAAGTATGGATATGCAGTTTCCATGTTTTGGCTGTTTGCAGCTGTCCTTCAAACCGAATGTGGATGTATGCCTACTGAAGGTAACACATCATATCACAACACAAACATCAAGTATCATGAATGTTAAAATAATGCCACATGTATGGACAACATATCAAAACTAAGTAATGTACTTAAAAAGTTAAAATGTATTAGTTATGCATCTAATGCTGTATGGATATGTAATATTTAATAATGTTTTGAAAAATGAATGCTCATTTGATGGAAATACTGAATCATGAGATATGAGAGCAATACATAGACATGATACCAATATGCCAGAAATGCAGTAAAAACAGTAATCATGTATCATATAGAACACTCTATGCATGAAGTCCAAACAGAAGAAGCCAGAACAAAAACATGAATGATGGCCTGAAGCAGCCTGGTGAAGAAATGCAGTATATTAAAGTTGTATCATGGAGCAGTAGTTTATTTATTAAGAATAATGTACCAACGAATGAAAATAAAACTGAGTAATCAAGTAAAAGTTGTATGATCTGAAGATTTAATGGCAACTAAATATAATGAATTCTTCTCAGGTTTTCTCCATTCGACCACCTGACATGGCTGGTAGCCTGTGAAGAATTCATTACACAAGTGATAATATGGCATGTTACGACTAAGGCATACATTGCATCCACCTTCTGGATACCCTGGTATATTCTTTTCAAATATTGGTAACCACATTCAGTATCAAAACCTACCAAAATACTGCATGACAGATTCTACTTCCTTGGGGTGGTCTGATGAAACATATTTTAAAATCACGATCCTTAACCATATTTCAATGACCAGAACCTCAACCATTTCTATGGAGAAGTTCTAAAAAATTTGATGAACTAGATCGGATCTTTCATTGGCGAGAACCATGGTGTGGAAAGGAAGGAGAGGCGGGCTGAAGAAACAATGATGAAATTTTCGTTTACACTAAACACAACATAAAAAAATCAAACATAGCTATTAACACGTTTTTCTTTTTCTGTAGGCTTCACCTACACACTTGATATCGACACCATTATATAAAAAACAAAATAAATACAAGTCAGAAAATTATGGCATATAACTGCAGTATGGTCTAATCTAGTCAGCTATTACCGTTCACTAGGGTTTACTACATCACAATCTACACAGGTTAGCAGCTTTTCTGCGTTGCACAGGCAAGTGTCAAGGTTATAGCGTAAAGTACAAATCTATCCAGAACGCAGATATGTTGCATACATACCTGCTGGGTACTAAAATCAAATCCCAAATACGTTGATTCATCACATGTGCTCATTGTTCTAAATTATTTTTTCTATGCCTTTAAGACAAATTACATAACTTTGATACCTGATAACAACATCATCGCTTACCGACATCTCTATTTGAATTATGTGTATTTCTAAGCTACAGCCCAACAACAGTAGCTCAATCGACAATTAAGTCCACTTTTTGTAGCCGCCAAAGAAATGTCAACAGTGATCGGTCCATCGAGTTTAGCAAAGCGAAAACCTCATTCAAGCTCGTTCACCTAACCTATAAAAGAGTCGCACACACACACACTATGATGCAGGAAATTGTTTGAAAAGTCGATTGTATACCTGGCCTCTCAAAGAATATCCCACATTCATTATGGAACCCGAAGTTTCATTACTGTGTTCACAAAAGCCCGCCACTGGAAACTATCTTGGGCTAGCTGCATACAGTTTGCGTCACAATCTCATGTTATTTTTGCATTGCCAAAGAGTCAATCCATGTTCGAGACGCTTTTAGACATATCGTAACAAAATACGTTTTTACGGCGAGGGGTTGTTCGCCCTACGCCCAAAACCAAAGCTGGAGGACCAGCCCTTGTCGTCTGACCGCGACTGCTTATACAACATATTCGCAGCTATTTACCATATCTGGAGGCCTTCTTCTCCATTCGTGACCTGAGAACGCCATGCCGTGGTGACAAAGGACCCACGTAACATGGAACCCATATAAAAGCTGTCCTACTATACGCATGTGGGTATAACATGCAGGCGCTTGGGAGAGAGGTTATATAGCTCCTACACATTCTTAACCTAGGCTGTAGATAGGGGTGAGTGGTCAGCATCACGAACCTGTCCGCTCTTTGCGCCGGGGGAAGGAACCGGGTACCCATTGGATAGAAGGCTAAGTAAGCCCCAGAGCCGTTCTGGACACAGAGGCTAGAGGAAAAGTCCTCTTTCACTGTCGCGGATCGAACCAAGGTCATCCAGTCTGTAGTCAGTCACTATACCGACTGAGCTACCCAGCTCATACGGAACCCATTTAAGAGCCATTAAAATTTCCTGTTGTCCAGTCTTTCCACAAAGTGATGGTGCTGGAACTGTACACAAAACAAGAATAAAGAGAATGTGACATTTATGTTCTCTTTGTGGCCATAACAATTCTCAAATAAATTTTATAAGAATATCACATTCATCACTGTGTGCATTGCAGACTATCAGGACACCTTCTGTGGCACCACAGTACCTCAACCTCTCGGCCAGCAAAACTGACAAAACACAGGGAACACCTGTGCACCCAACTTAAACAAACTAACTAACTAACTAGTTGGCTTGCTGAACCCGAAGGTTCATCACCGAATTAACCAAAGCCCTCCACCGGACCCTGTCCTGGGCCAACAAAATCCAGTCTCCTTCAACTCCTATCTCCCATAGATCCCGCCTGACATTATCCTCCCATCTACGTCTAGGTCTCCCCAGCGGTCTCTTCCCTTCAGGTTTCCCAACCAGTACCCGGTGCACACCTCTTGTCCCATCCATGCGCACTACATGCCCCGCCCATCTCATTCTTCTCGACTTAATCACCCTGAAAATACTTGGGGATGAACCCAACTTAAACAAGGTAACGTAAACTAATTCAGTATACCAAAAACACCCTCTTCCTATCTGGACTTGCCTAATATGAAGCAAATTAACAAAGCTAACTTGATCATGCTGGAGGCACTGTCCCTTTTCCCTGGGCTACTCCATTCACAGGAGTCCACCCCACAAGTGGTCTCTAACCCTCCGTGCTTGTTCCACTACACTAGGAGGTCCGCCCATTGATTGATGCTTCACCCCACCAATAGGGCTCCCAACCTGACAGGTTACCGTCCCAGCAGGGGTTTGGAACCATAGTGCCATCTGGAAATCCACGTTAACCTGGTGGCTCTGCCACACATTGTAAGTTTCACACCAAAGGGGAGCTCACCTGCCAATCTTTGACCGTGTTGAGGATCTGCACCCCACATATGGGGCTCTGTACCACCCAGTGTTAAATCCTAGATGGGTGCTAAAGCCTGCTGGTGGGGTTCCTTCATCAAATGGATCTGCGTGAAAACCTATCTCCACCTTTCTGGTAGTGTTCCTGACAGGGAAAAGGAATTTGCTCGTAAAGGAAAAACCTACCCATCAAAGTCACTGATACAGAATTTTAGTGAATACTTCATATCAGTATTTAACACTCTGATGCCTCTAATTCTCTGGCTGCAGCCTATCTCATTTTTTATATACTGGGAACAAAACACCCTATTTCTATTGCTTAGGTATTTCCTCATGGGTCCATATTTTGTTCATTAAGTTATGTATTGAATTCACAAGTGTAGTTTTCTCTATCTTCGGCATTTCTGCCATCATACTAACAGGTCCAGGTGACCTTTTATTGTTTAACTTTTTTACAGCATTCCTAACTTACTTTACACTTCGTCCATTACTTTCTTGATTTTCTTTTTGCCCTTCATATTCGCTGTGCCTTCTGTTTCCACCATCAATATTATGGTGCTCACCCAACAGGTCTTGAAAATATTCCTGCCATCTTCTTAAGACCTCTGTCCAATTACTTAGGAGGTGACAATCTTTGTCTCTGCAGAACTGTACCCGTGGCTGGTACCCGTTCCTTATTTCATTTACCAGTCTATATAAAATTTCCTACTTTCTCTCTTAGAGTTAAGGTCCTCCAGCTCTTTCACTTTGTCCTCCTCGTATGCCCTTCTTTTCCTCCTATGAATTTTATTCTCTTATTCTCATCTTCCTGTAGTCTTCGACTTCCCCTTGCCTGAACTGCTCCTGGATCATTTTTTGGTAAGCTTCATTCTTTCTTCCTGTGACCTGATCACATTGTTGGTCAAACTATTCGCTGCATCTTTGTCATCTCCTTTCTCCCAACATTTCATCTAGATCTTGCAAAACTGTTTCCTTTACTGCATTCCAACTCTCCTGACATCCCTGGTGAGTGCCATTCATTTTTTGTAAATTTTCCACAAGCTTCTTTCTATGTTCTTGTCTTGCCTCTTCCTCCTTTAACCTTCTCATATCATATATCTTCCTTTAATTGCGAGTTTGTTGGTTTGGGATATAGGATAACCTGTTTCTGATCCTTGCTACTACCAGGTAGTGATCAGTGTTTGTGTTTGCCCCTCTGAAATTGCGCACAACAAAAAGGCCTGACTGGTGCCTACAATAACAACATGGTCCATTTGATTCACTTTTCCTCCATTTGGGGTTCTCCATATCTCCTTTTGGATGTCTTTGTGTGGGAACAATGTTCCTCCAATGATCATTTGATGTCGATTAGCAAAACTAATTAGCCAAGTTCCATTGTCATTGCTTTCACTATGTAGGCTGTGAACTCCAATCAGTGGCTTAGCTCATTCACGTCCCGCCTTTGCATTAATATCGCCAAGGATTATCTTCATGTCATATGATGGGCACACATTATACGCTTTTTCCAAATAGTAATAAAAGATGTCCTTTTTCCCTTTCTGTTTTCTCTTCTGTTGGGGCATGTATTGACATCAAACTATATTTCTGAAATCTTCCTCGTACCCTCTGTATACAGGTTCTGTCATCTATGGTCTTGAAGTCCGTCACCTGCTGTCTCAGTTTCTTACTAACCAGAAACCCTGTTCCAAATTCATGTTTATTACCACAGCTGTGGATATATTTGTAAAATGCTAAATCCTCCAATTTTATTCTTTCCTCCTCCTCAAACAAGCACGTGTATACATGCACATGCCACTCTTTCATAACAAACACTGATAAGATATTGCTTACAAAGTCAAAATTTTTATCTTACCCCAGAATCCTAAACACCAGCAATCAACATTATGTGGGAGTCAATGTCATGATGGGAGAAAGTAACAGAAATGCAGGAAATTAATACTGTCTGAAAATGACATCTTCAAACAGTCACTTGCAATAATAAAGAAATGAAGGAGAAATCTTCATTCATAGTGAAGTATTGATTATTTATTTATGGTTTACTTGAGACTTTCAGTAGAATTTTGCCTTGCGTAAGCAACAAAGTGCAAGTCTGTCCATACGGATGAAACATAAAGTTGCATGAATAACCCTAGTATTCCTCTTGAATTTCATGTCATGAGTTTCAAATATCCATAGCTACATAACCTTTGAGAATCAGACCATGTTCATATGACATTTTACTGGGAATGGTGACAGAAATAAGATCCTGAAGCATTGACATGCCATGAAGCTGCCAGATTTTAAATCCTTCCCAGAGTTGCATGACATGTACAAATAAATGTGAACTGTGACTGTTTGTACACACTACAACAAAAATAATTCACTTGAAATTTTCTTTGTCTGAAATAAATTACTAACACCTTTATGCAGCCTACCAAAATCTTAATGCAACCCTAAAGATGGAGGCAGCGTGTTGCTCTGAAACAGCATAAGTGGCGTAAGATTGTGCAGTGCAACAACACAAGACCACAAAATGAAAATGTATTGGCTTTCAAATATCCTTTATGTAGAACATTTTAATTTCTTTGAAACCGATTTTGTGGTTCTTACTGTTGCATCTTAAAATTAATCAGAGTATAACTTTTTTTTTAGTGTGGACACTGCTCACTGCCCTACAAGTGCTGAAACATGTAACATAGTAAGCAATGTTAATATTTAAATAACTTTCTCTCAATATTTGATACCAATAATAAATTTCTGCCAATATTCCTAAGTCATGATGGTGATAAAAATGGCATGTAGTGAAAAATCTAAATATTAAAAGTGTTTTGTTTTACTCAAAACATGTGCACCACAAATAGTCATATAATATCATACTTTTAGGATCCAGTACAAGAAGAATGTGATGTATCTTTAACAGACTATTGAAACACTACAAAACATGTTTAAAAATTCAAGCTCCACTTAAACCTCAATATGGCATTCATTTTTACATAACAATGTAATTAATGATTTCAGTATCGCTATTCTTCCACCCATACATTGAGTAATCTTTTTATGCATGAAGAAACAATTTCAGTCAAACCTGGAGCCATCACATTTTTGCACTGGACCCATCTATTGCAAGAGAATTCAGGATGAACAGAAGATACACTATGTTATGTTTCTTCTGAAGTGTAAATAACTCAATTTCTAAAGAAAGACAAAGGAGAAACAGATTTTCTAGGAAATGATATAAGAGTGAGAAAATTACATTGTAAATCCTAACAGTTCCTGAGTTCAGAGCTGTGGCTGCACAAAATAATGTTAATGTAAGTAAACAGTAAAGCTGTTCTCATGCTTAATTAACCTTCATCAATTGTGTCAAGGGTTATGTTCTGGTACTGACTAATGGAAACACAGATGCACTGGAAAGTCCTTACAGCAACATTACAAAATAAAAATAGATAAAAAAAGAGATTCTGTTGTCATAAAAAATATTAAAATCCATCATTGCATCAGATATGGTAGATAATGGTTTATATCTCCAAATATGATTTAAACCAAATACCTTCAAAATGTGAGTTGGACTTGATGTGGTAACCAGATGTTCATTAAGGAATAACTAGCTTACTCCAAACAGGAGATTTTTAAATTTAGAGCAAGAAAGAAATGTGACCACTTCTTATTCAGATAAATTTTACTGACACAGAATACTTTCTTTTACCATCATCATCATCATCATCATCATCATCATTGGCTCTACAGCCCTATGTGGGCCCTGGACTTCTCCAAAAGCTTCTTCCATTTCGTGTTGTAACCAGGAAGCTACAATGTGAATAGATGTTACCAACACAACATTGGGGCGTTACTACCCAGGTGCTACCCATAATGCTTGCTTTGTTGAGGCATGGTCCCTGGCAACTGCTGTAGGAGGTTTGCCCTATGGGGAACAAGGCTTTGTCACTCATGCTTCATCCTGGTTTCAGCATAAGTACAAGAATGTGACCTATCATTGCTGGACATATAGCTCAACAAAATTATGTACCCTAAAGAGTACACCATTCCAAACATGCTTTTAAGTGTGCTTGTTAGGATAAATAGTAGCTTATCAGTAAGTAGTGTGGTAATATCTTGAAGTCATGGGTGGCAGTAATGATTCCACATTCTGAAATAGCCACAGATTAACCCTTCAGAATTGATTGAACCAACGGTAGTGACACTCAGTTTCATCTTGCCTAAAATTTAAAAACCTAGTGATGTGGCATTGACATACAGACACAATTTCAAAAATAATAAAATAAAAAACCAAACTGAAAGATTGCTGTCTTCAGGGTTGTTGCACCGTGTAGTCTGGCAGAACTTTACCAATGTTTAAGAGGTCCTTGCTGCCTCCATCATCAGGGCAATGAGTAAGAACCCAGAAGACAGGCAACTTTGTATTCATCCACCATTTATAAAGCTACACTAGTCAACCACAGTTTATTCAAATTTATTCCAATTAATGTAACACTATAAATTAAACTAGTGTTAATAGTTTGTTTGTTTGCTTATTTTATATTCTAACACACTACACGGTATGCAAAGTTTTAAGAATATACTGTGCCATTATTGCAGTGTACCAACTGAATAATGCCAATAACGTATGTAACTTTAAATGAAGCAGCAGGTACAGAAATATAGTTCTGTTACTGCCCAAATAATGAACAACTGAAAACCTCAAATCTTACATAATGAACAACATGATGTGCAATGTGAGCACTAATCCTGCTTCTTAACCAAAGTATCACAAAATTGTACAGAATGAAAGTTATAATTTAGCAAACAGAAAGAAAGTTCCCTTGGAACATATCTGCAACAATTTTACAAAATAAAGCATTCACTATGTTTAATAAGATCAAGATTTTAAACATCATAGAATTATGTTCAACAGAGTATAATACTGAGGAAACAGATGCAGAAAACCCCAAGGTTAAATATTTTGCAGCTGTGATGTGTCATAACCTTTCTTCTATGTGTGATACTACATTGACCACTGATGGTAACCCCAAATTAGCAGTAATAAAATGAGAGAGTGGTATTATACTCTTTGCAATACTTATGTGTGGCTTTCTGGTGGGTACAAATAAACTTGAACAATAAGCACAAGGTGTGACAGAAAAATCATAAGAAAAGTCCTTTGTGTTCAAGTTCCCCATAGTAACAGAGTGACTATTTAGAATCTTTCTAATAAATAGCTGACAGTAAGACAACAAAATTTCAATATCAAGTACATATTAACAGAAGAAAGAATGGAAATATATGACCTTGGCATCACCATTCATATTGTAAAGCTCGTATGGGTTTTGCACAATAAAACAGGTCTATCAAAAGGAACCATGAAACCTGTTGCAAGATCACTGAAACTATGTAGGATTTGAGGTTTTCATGGCTGTGAGTTTCAAGATGGCTGTCTTTTGGGTTGTTGTGCCATGTAGTCTGGTAGAAGTTTACCAACATTTAAGAGGTCGTCGCTGCCTCCATCATCATCATCCTGATGACAGAAGACAGCCAACTTTAGTTCCAAAGAAGCATATTACACGGAATTCATTTAAAATGCAGCCCCATGACATAATTTCAGGTGTTTTGTCACTTGATGAACACTTGTCACAGACAAACACTTTCTTTGTCCCAAAATTTTGTAACCTTTCTGTGTATTATTGTCTTACTTGGCACTTCCTTGAGAGGATGTGCATTGCTAAATGCTTAATAAACAGCTGAAAATTATTCTGATACAAAGAAATGCTTGAGAATAAGCATCTTCTGCATATGAATACACCTTGTTTGCACAAACACAGCCCAGCTGGTGTGAGCAACAGCCTAGTAACCAGGACAAACTTCGCTGGAATATTAAGGGAAAGTTTGAGAGAGTTCATTACACTGGGCATAACATGCTTCTGATTCCATTTTGGTATCATGGTACATGATACTGGGTTGCATTTTCATTGGTATACCTGTATTTTAGTTATGTTCTGTGATGTACGAACATGTTGGCAAGATATTTTTTTCAAAATACATTTTATAATACAGGAAAACCTTGTGCATTCTCCTTACATGTTTTGTGCTGTATGCTAGACCTGAATTTTTTACTTCCACACTTTGTAAATCTTTTATGTCAACAGAAATATTTGAATTTGAGCCTGCAATTTGTATTACTTTAGTAGAAGTACCACTTCCAGATGCATCCATAAAGGTTTCTTCCACTTTACTACCACAAACTATACATTCACTTTCATGTTTCATAATCACAAATAAATGTCACTCTGTGAAAACAACATTAAAAAAGAAAGTATAATATATACCAAATTTACTCGTATGTAACACACACCCTTTTTTTGGATTAGAAAATTAAAGAAATGAAGTATTTGTGTAACATGTTTAAAAATAAAAATAGTATAGGTAGTGAAGAAAAATAAAATGATTATATAGTGTATGAAGTCTGAAGATCATGCATACAGTGTCAGAATTCATTGTTAAATTTCAGGATAACTACAAGTTAGATTTCCAATGCAAGAATGCTGAAAATGATGTAACGAAGTGTGTCATTTTTAAGTGTGATTTTCAGTGTAATACACATTTTCACCCATTTTAATTTAATTTTTTTTAAGATCCAACAACACCTTAAGATGCATTTAAATGTTTCCTATCCCATGCCAAGATCCAAAAAGCTAGTCAATTTCCATCAGTATGTTCTTTTGGTTCCACCGGAGTCCGATTAAAAATATTCCACTCTATAATAAACGTGATAGAAATCAGATATTTATCAGCACCCTTTTCTAGTTTTTACATCTGTAAAACAGATTCTTATTTCTTTTTCCTTGTTCAAACATAAATACTCTATTAATTTCTTAAAAAAAATACATATATGTAAAGACCAAATAGCTGATTACTTATCAGGAGATTTATGAACCATGTACTTCTGGGTACATGGTATTAAAGAATGAAAATGAGTCTTTTATCCAAAAATATAATTAAATATAAAAACACAACACATGAATTAAATATAACAAAACAAATACAACAAGAAAAGAATATGAACAACACATTAATCAGCATCAGCAGATTCTTCATCGGATGCTGTTGAAAAGATTCAGGGCTGATTTGTTCTCCTGAAACAAGAGGTAAAAATCACATCAAACATTTGTTTTTATACATTTCTAAAAATATAAATTTAAAGAATGTTAATATTACAAGATAGGGAGCTGATGTAGCTCAGTCAGTATAGTGACTGGCTACGGACTGGATGACTGGGGGTTTTCCTCTAGCCTCTGCATCCAGACTGGTTCTGGGGCCCACACAGCCTCCTATCCAATGGGTACTGGGGTCCTTTCCTGGGTGTGATGCTGACCACTCAACCCCAACAAGTGCCGAGGTCAAGAATGAGTAGGAGCTTTATCTCCTCTCCCCCCAAATGCCTGCATTGCATATAGTGGGACAGCTTTACTTTTACTTTTTAATATTACAAGATACTTGTTTCCCTCCCACAATGAATGCATTAAGCATCTTACCTTCTCTAAACGACCTTTGCTGGACATTTTCCAAAGGCAAAGAGTCTCATCCCCAGCGCCGGTTACAATTGCTTCTCCGTCAGGAGACATGGCAAGATAGGTCACTCTAGATGAATGGCCAGTGAGGTTTGCAACCTGTGTCATTCTAGGATATTTCCAAATGCGTATCAGATTTTGAGTGAAGCCATGGGTGCTAATCTACAACAGAAAAACAAATTTCCAGAAGAAATGGAATTAAAAATAAGGTCTAGAATAACCTCCATTGACAAAACATCCATACCAAATCCCATGAAAAATTTTCAGCCATTCTCAGATAACAGGTAATTATGCCAACAATGACACAGCCAATGACAGTGTAACAGGCGATAACATCATCAGTTACTGCAGAGGATCATGGATAATGGCGTCAATGTGGATCGTAATTCAGCTACATTGCAACTTGTAGCAAGTTTTGTTGGTATTACAGATTGCGGAGTACAAGTATGAGTAGCCTCAAACAGAATAATTTCCATGTCAAATGTCATGAAAATCTATTCAGTCATTCTAGAGTTATATGTGTATAGAAGGACAAAGGAAACTTATTACGTGCTCTGCAGGGACTCAAACATGTACTGGCACCAAAAATGTTCCAGAAAAAGGAAACTTTTTCTACATACTTTTAAATGTGGCTAGTTTCTAATGTCTCCAGGAATGATCTTTCCAGGCCTCTGCCAACTCTGGGCAAGTATAGAATCTCCTGTTCAGGTGGGGGCAACCACAGGGCAGATTCCATTAACCCAACCAAAAGGGTGATCATTAAGAGGGGCCCTACAGTTTAATGAGTGCTCTGAACCACAGTGGGGGCCTGGTATACTTCACTTTCCCAAAGCTTTATTTTTGGAAAATGTGAAAACTTCAGTTCATGACCAGAAGCTGAGAAATGTGGATGAATGAAAATCCTGTAAATGCCTCTGTAAACTACAGGTATTGACCTAATGAAAACAGTGAGTGTGAAGCTGACCCTTTTACACTGCTAATATTGAATGAAGGTAAGGAAGTGTCCCAATTGAGATGACTTCACAGTTATAATTTTATGGTTATTTTATGTGCATTCTTCATCCAAGTACAAATGTAGAGATTTTATAAATTATGTCTCCAGTAAATGGAATTTGTAAATTAGGTTTGGAGTGTTAACATATTCACAATATATATTTAAATTTAATCTGATAGGTTTCAAACACTTCACTACCTGTACCAAATATAAAATACAATTCCTACTTCTATCAACAATATCGTTCCAAGTTTAAACTTTAGACTACATCACTATGCAAGCAACTTACCAGTTCAGAGGAATGTTTAGACCAGGCAAGATTACAGACTTGAGATCCAGTGTCTACACACTGCACTGGTAGTCCTGTGAGCGTGTTCCAGAAACGAATACACCGATCAGCTCTGCCTCCACCACTAGCCAAGAATCCATGATGGTGTGGGGACCATGCAATAGCTGTAAAATAAAATTTATTTGTGTATATTACTAAATTGTGTCGAAGTGATCAGTATGATGCATGATGCTGCATAAAATATTAACATAAACAAAGAGAATGGTGGAGGCATGAGGAGAAATGCATAGAAATTTACTTTGGTAATTATAAATGCTGCACAGAACAGTGAAATCAATGACATCCAAAGAATATGAGCACTATGTTGGAGAAACCATAAACTTCTACCAGTTGTATCATGCTCTTCTCATTTTTCTCTTTCAGCAGTATATTAAGAAACATGTAAAGCAGCAAATACTATGCACAATAACTGACTAACTAACTAGATGGCTTACCGAACCTAAAGGTTCATGACCGAATTAACCAAAGCCCTCCACCGGACCCTGTCCTGGGCCAACAAAATCCAGTTTCCTTCAACTCCTATCTCTCATAGATCCCGCCTGAGATTATCATCCCATCTACGTCTAGGTCTCCCCAGCGGTCTCTTCCCTTCAGGTTTCCCAACCAGTACCCGGTGCACACCTCTTGTCCCTTCCATGCGCGCTACATGCCCCGCCCATCTCATTCTTCTCGACTTAATCACCCTGACAATATTGGGGGAGGAGTACAGATTTTTAAGCTCATCATTATGCAGTTTTCTCCATGCCCCATCGTCTTCCCTCTTAGGCCCAAATATCCTCCTCAACACCTATTCTCAAACACCTGCAATCTGTGTTCCTCCCTCTGAGTGAGAGACCATGTGTCACACCCATACAAAACAACAGGCAAGATTATTGTTTTGTATACTTTAATTTTCAGGTTCTTAGAAATCAGACGGGAAGACAAAATATTTTGAACTATGAAGTAGCAAGCATTTCCAGAATTTAATATCCTCCTAACTTCCTCATGAGTGTCATTTTGATTTGTTATTGTTGTTCCCAGATATTTGAACATTGTAACCCAGGGAAATACAGGGAAAATAAATACATTTTCTGAATTCTTAAAGACTGTTTATAGGCAAGTACTGGAGGCATACAACTACCTCTGGTTTAAAAAAATGTATTAGATGATCCAGAGCATATCAATTAATACTGTAGACATGGTGTGTTGGCTTTTCACAAAGTTACTCCTATTGTTTTCAGTTAACCTCTCCATGATCAATATTTTTTTGAAAATATGATCCAAAAATATCATATTGTTTTTATTTTACATTTAGAATAAATCTACAAAAATGATAGTATAACTATAGTTAATGTAAAGCAGACGGAAGCCACACATGGGCAATGATCGGAATTACAATGCTTGCATCACTTCTGGTTTCAAGTTCTTGATTTTTGCTGCAGCACAGAGTGCACAAACTCTTGACAATATAATAGCAATATCTACTTGCTTCACAGAATTTTATTTTAATCTCTTATAAATGGTGATGACAAACACAATGATTCATACCTTTCACTGCTGACGAATGTTGAGTGTAAGTCTGGACAGGTGACAGTGAATGGAGATTCCAAACATGGAGGCGATTGTCATTGCCACCGGAGGCCAGGGTCTGCTTGTCTGGTGACCACTTCAAGCCGCAAACCTTTAAAGAAAAGATACTTTCAGTAATTCAAATTGATAACAATAATTTTAAAACATATTTTTCACCCTTCAACAATAACAGCAATATTTTATGTGAGATCTGATGTTCTCACAATGATGAATATGTTTACACTGTTCTTCTGGGTTGTGGTGGGATGTGGAGATGTACTATCTTCATTTTCAGAGCTGAAGATGGAGACGGCATGTATATCCAAAACTCTGGTATCTATGTCAGTCCACATGGTGTCACAATCGAGAAAAACAATAACAACTATTTTGCAGTAATAACAAAATTAATAACACTTTTACTCACCTCTAGTTGATGGCCAACCAATCTTCTCTCTGTCACAAGACTAGGAGTTCTGACATCACGTTGTAAGATAAGTTTATCGCGACTTCCCGATGAGAGAACATCACCATTCCAAGCAAGTGCTCCAACTCTGTCTGAATGGCCTTGCAGCTCATTAACTTGTGAATTTACTGCAACATCCCAGACTTGCACGTAGCCATGATGTGTGCCTACTGCTACCAAATTTCCCTACTTTTTTGCAACAAAACAGGTCATAAATGTGTCCTACAATAAGATCCAATCCTAAATTATGACAGAGGTGATATGATGGGTTATCAATTCAGTAAAATTTCCTGGTCAGAATATGCATATTCTTACCTATTATCTACAGTTGTTGCAGAATATGGCCATAATATTTCATTTATATAAAATTATGACATCCTGGAAGAACAGAATACAGACAAATACATTGTGGTTCGTAGGTCTTCATGGCCGGAGCAGTTTATATAAGACCTTCAGTACTGGCCCTATCTCATACACACCTTGAATGTGTGTAACTGCAATATTTGCCAAAATGATGGTTAACACTAAAAAATTGAATGGCTCTCACCCAGAAACAGAAGTAACACAGACAAATACATGTATCATGAAATAAATACTGCTCCTCTTGACAAAAATCTCCATAAGACAAGCTACTATAATTTTTGGGGTTGGTCTCCCTCAGTCGGCAGGCTGAAGACACAATCCTTTACCACCTTCCCCCAGAAGTTTGTAACAAGAAATCCAAATTCTCCAGATTTTTTTAATGCACAAAACAGTAAACTTCAGAAATACCAAGATGTTTCCTTTGTCATGGATATAAAACATAAAATAAAAAGCAGAAAGAACCCACAGAAATGGGGTTAGCAGTTGACACTGATTCAAGAGTAGTATAAGGAAGATAGCTAGAAGCAGAACTGCAGTAAGAACAAGAGGCCAATATTGGTAAAAGTTGAAATGGGGACTTTGGAAACTTTCAGAATTCAGAACAGAAGTCCAGAGACTCAATGAGCATGAGACAGGCCTGAGGAAAGTGAGATTATGACCAGCAATAAGGAGTCAAATCTGACTAATAACTTAGCCCTTCTTATTTCTTTGTTGCTCTAAGAGACAGGGGCCTTTGTTTGCTCTAGCTTCACATGCAAATTCTACAAGTCATGTGTTAGTTACAGTTCAATGAAACCCCTAATAATATAGTACAGAAAATCACAGTATAATGCAGTGTCAGAGGGGAAGAGGTTATGAAAAGCTCATGAAATATTGGCCACTTTATAACAAGACCTGTTAGCCAATAGACAATTGTTTAATTTGTAAACCAACAATTATGTCAAATAGTAATATAGTGACGGGTGACTAAAGGCTGCATCTACTTTATGCACTGCAAACTAATTTTGCAATACAATTAATAATGCATTTATGCATAACATATCCTTTAAAGATTAACAACCAAAACAGCAATAATCATATTCCAGTTTAAAAGAAATACTTTTCAATGACCTACGCAAAAATAGTTTGACCAATACTTACACGCTCATTCCATGCAACTGAAGTTACAGAGTTGCCATCTCCAAATAAATCACAAAGCCTTGTAACTTGACTAGTGTATAAAGACCAAAGATATACACAACTTCCTAATCCCACACTTAATACATTCTGTAAAGACCAGTCAATAAGATTGAGGTAGAAGTTATCTTCAAGCTCAGGGGCATCCAACACCTTAAAGAAAAAGACACAAACTTCAATAAATCAGGAAAATTAATGAAGTACAGCACATGAAACTCCCAATGCTTCATATAAAAAGAAGAACGTTGTAAATATTTGACAATTCACACACTATCATTGTCTCATAGCTTGAGCTGGCAGTACAGCTCATCATAAAATCAAAACAGCCACATCAGCAAAGTCAGATTTCATCAGAGAAGAGAAGAGAATCAAACACTGAGATATGATGTGAAGTGAGTGCAGACACTTCGTTTGTGCATATTAGAAGATTAAAACTAATACAAGCTATGACTAACCCTGAAAGGTTTTTGTGATATTTCACGTGTTGCTTTTCTTGCTGACCTAAGCAACGTCTGGCTTTCTGCACTAAGCGGTGACAAAGAATAAGCCAGAGAAGCTTCACCACGATGGCCAATTACATTCTCATTTGGAGTTGTGAACTGTAAGAGAACAGAAATAAATCTTTGATAACAGGTATGACATTTACTTACAATGCACAAATTATACACAGTTTTCAGTTTCAATCTAAAGCAACAAGAAAATGGCTGTCATCTGGGTTGTAGTGTCACGTAGTGTTATAGAAGTTCACCAAGGTTTCAAATGTGCTTCCTGCCTCCATCACCAGGGCAAGGAGCAGTTGTGATGATGGAATGGTTGGAGGCATGGGACCATGTCTTAGTCTCTCCAATGCAGTTGGAAGTACAGGGAACAAAGTTGTTCAGCTTTCTTGAATCAAAGGGTTTTCATTCTCAAAATGAAGTGATCAATAGCTTTCCCATACAGGTTTACCTAGTGAGATTATAGGTTCACATGGCAGCAAATATGAAGATGGCTCTCTTCCGGGTTGTTGCACTATGTAGTCCAGCAGAAGTTAACCGACATCATTTCAGAAATACTTGCTCCCTCTGCTATTATACTCGCCCCTGTGATAACCTCAAATCTCACAAAATCTACATAGTACATTTCTGATATCTGACAGTTCTGTTTCCACTTAACTTATACATTTCCCTTATTGTCAATATTACAACACTGCCTCTAAATAGAAGAATCACAATAATCAACCCAACACCCTTTAAAATCCTTGTAGAAGCATGTCAATATGTTTGCAGTATGACATGATGTTACTCTTGCAGCAGAACGCCAGAATGAGATTTATAACATGTACTAAATCTGTGATGGTACACCTTCCTTGATATGTGACTAATAAGGGTCAGGTCGAAACCTCACATGAAATTTTGCTAGTCTACAGAGCCCAACTATTAATGATTGTACATAAAATTTCAGCTGCTGATACGTTGTGCAAGGGTGCGGAACAATTGCTAAAAATTCGAATGTACAGTTTAAATTTGCACCATCGCGCACGCATCTGACGGCAGTGCGCCTGGCAGTGGCACGGTAATCAACGGTACATTGCAGCGGAGAGTGTGGACTAGGCGCTGAGAAGGCAGCGAAAGACTCTACGCGTTCTGCGAGCTCTGCTTGATACCTAATATAAAATATCCTAGAGAAGTTATTATTATTAAGTGTTCTGTCTTACGACAGGTCCATTGCTCTTCCCAAAAAGAGCTCTCCAGTTGTCCCTATTCTCGGCTTCTCGTTTTAATTCCTGGAACGTCATCTTCTTTCCTTGTTTCAGGTCGTCGGTTAGCTGTATCAATCTTCTTCCTAGTCCTCTCTTTCCTTCAACCTGGCCTTCGGTGATATCACTCATTAATCCATTCCTTCTCATAATATGTCCCTGCCAGTTAGCTTTCCTTCGTGTAATCGCCTTCAGAATGTTTCTTTGCTCGTTGACTCTCCTCAATACTTCTTCGTTGGTCACTCGATCCGTCCACCTGATCTTCTCTATTCTTCTCCAACACCACATTTCAAAACTCTCCAGGTATTTCTGTTCCTTCTTCTTGAGTGTCCAAGTCTCTGCTCCATATGTAACACTTCACTAGTTTCTTCTTCATCTCCAATCCCAACTTGTTAGTGAGAAGTATCCTCTTCTTGACGAAAGCTGCCTTGGCCATGGCTATCCTTGCTTTTACTTCCTTGGTGCATAGGGCGTCCGTCGTGACTATGCTTCCCAAGTACTTGAAATGCTCCACATTCTCCATCTGTTGGTTTCCAATTACAACGTTCAATGGTTCTGCTCTCGGTGCTATCCTCATTACCTTTGAATTTTCAATGTTGATTTCCATTCCATACTCTCTACCTGTCTCCACTAACTTGTCCATTATGTTCTGTAATTCCTCCTCTTCCTTCGCCAATATTACTAAGTCGTCTGCATACTTTACAGTCTTTATCACTCTTCCTCCAATTTTGAAGTCTCCTGTTCCCTCCAGAGCTTCCTTGGCAAGCCATTCCCCGTACAGGTTAAAAAGAATTGGTGATAAGCAGCATCCCTGTCTTACACCTCTACCTATCTCAACGCTGTTGGTGTCTCCTGAGTCCAGTCTCACTTTGACTTTTTGCTGCATGTACAGGTTTTTGATTAGTCTTCTATCTCTCCAATCAATTCCAATTCTCTGTAGGATCCTCATTAATTTCTTCCATTTTACTCGATCGAAAGCCTTCTTCCAGTCGATGAAGCAGGCACATACTTCTTCCTTGACATCGAGAACTCTCTCTGAAATTATTCTCATAACTCCGATGGCATCTCTGGTTCCTCTTCCTCTCCTGAATCCAAATTGGTCGTCTCCCATCACTTCCTCTATCTTCTTTTCTAGTCTTTTAGTCAGTATTCTCGTCATTATCTTCGCCGCATGTGAGATTAGGCTGATGGTCCTGTAATCGCCGCACTTCTTGGAATTCTTTTTCTTTTTCTTCTGTAATGGAATCATTGTTACCCTAGAGAAGTACCCGTCAAAAATGACGGGAAAATTTAAGTAGTACTTAAAACGGATTTTTATTGAAAAGTCTAACAAAGCAGCACATAAAAATTAAAATCATTATCTATCTGCTTAATTAAAGAATATAGTATGATTTAAGGTGGTGAAACATCTGTTTTCCTGCGTTGTGTATTAGTACACATGTACATACTAGGCCATGGATGAGTGAACATTCTTTTGTTTCATTGAATTGCTTCCACAAAGCACCATATAAAACACCTGCGTAGTAATAGATTCCTCTGTACGTACTTATTCAATAAATTGAGCGCGCGCGCGTGTGTGTGTAATTTTCTCGTGTCTTTTACTGCCCTCTCGTCGCCTGGCCAACGCACACCCTTGCACGGTGAATACCGCACCACTGCTTTGACGCTCCGCTGTTAAGCGCGTGCGCAGTGGCGCAAATTTTAACTGTACATTCTAAATTTGAGCAATTTTTTCGCACCCTTGCATAGCGTATCAGTAGCTCAAATTTTGTATACAATCATTACTAGATGGGCTCTGTAGACGAGCAAATTTTCAGGTGAGGTTTCGACCTGACCAACCAGACCATACTCTTGTAAGGTGGAATCAAATAACAACAGGAATCCTGTCTGCCTTGCACTCTGATTATTGCTTTTTGTTTATTAACAAAATATTACTGGATCGCGCATTATTTACACACAAACAAATACATCTTCTTTTTTCAATATCACAATCTATGTGTTTTGGTATACGCTTCCGATTGCTCTTCGTAAGATTAAACATGGAAATTTTAAAACATATAGTTCAATAATATACAGAGAGAGTTTAAACCAGTGTTAACACTGGGAGTCTCATATCCATATGTGATGTTAGAAATAATGCGTCTTCCACAATACCATCTATGCTACCAGTGATTACAGATGTCAAAGCAAAGCGCTGTCATCTCTTGTTTTGCTATTGAACCTAGTTACATACTTTGAAAAAGTCCTTCATATTAATTAACGTTTTTCTTAAAATTAGGCACTCATCTTGTCTGCATAGCGTCTGGCATGCATAAATGTAATTAATGCAAGGCAGAGAAAAATCCGTGTGTGAGAAAATATGAGGAAATTATGAATGATTGAATTTATAATGCCAGATGCACACTTACACTATGTTCAGTTACAGATTTAGAAAATCGTAAGTGCTTGATTTTTGTACCATAGTCTATCAACTACATCAGTCAAGTACTTTTCCATTTCTACTGAAAGCATTAATAGAAGGTACAGTCCCGCCACATGTACCAATGATGCCAACTGAATATACCAAACTTTTATATTTTTAATATGAATATGGTTTCACCCAAGGACAACTTTCCTTTGTATAATCCTACTTCATTTGTTCTTTTCTATTTCAATGTACATATTACATACTTTAAGAGCTTTAACTATTACTGGCAGGCATGTTTCAATGAATCAAACTAATGTTATTATTATTATTATTATTATTATTATTATTATTATTATTATTATTGTTAATGTTGTTGTTGTTCTTACTGTTATTGTCTGATATCTATTAGTGTAGGGGAATCGTACCCGAAAGAGGGATGATCCCTCCAATGACTTCACATCACAGTGGCCTTTAAAATCTTTAATCTTTGCACAAAGAAGTTCATTTTTCAGTAGACAAGAATACGCCAATCTGCCATGACTTCCTTCACAATTTTCACGGCCAGGCTCCTATATTTAAAAAGACAAAATTTTCATTGACATTTCTAAAACTAGCTTATATTAAGATAATTTCACAAAGCTTATATACAATGGGGAAATAACAACTTCAAGCAAAACACCTGACGGGAAATGAGGTGTAGAAGTACATCATAAAATAGTAGTTTTAAATAATGGCGTGATGCTGAATCAAAAGAAAATAAATCTTTGATAATCTAATAATGTTTTTGTACAGTGCAATTGTAGTCCATTAAGAAGAAACCAATTTCTGTGGATAAGGTTTCATTTAAATATCTAAAAATGTACCGTCACGAAATAAATTGTTCTCATCCTCGATACAACATACTAACTTCATCTATCCACTACTTTTATAAAGTCACAAAAATCATAACTTAATGAAAAACACTTACTGTGATCATAGCAAACTTAGTTTCCCAATTGTTTCCAGCACGTGACGGAATAAAACGATCACTGCTGCTGATGCGCCCTGCACTCTGATACATCGGTGACTGCAAGAAAGGAAAAGATGACAGTAGAAACTCACATTTCCTTTATCCATATATTCTAAAGTCATTAAGAGAACTGTTTTCTGGGGTACTGTGCCAAGTAGCTTGGTAGAAGTCTACAGATGTTTCAGAGGTGCTTGCTGCCTTCATCATCATGGCTATGGAGGCCGAATGCACGTCTGAAATGTTGGCAGATTTCTAACAGACTACGTGTTGCAACATCCAAAAGACAGTAATCTTCATACCTGCTGCCATGAGAACCTGATATGTCACCAGTATATAAATATGTAACACTTTTAATTCAGTACTTAATCCGTATTTAATGTCAGAGAAAAATTCTTATACTGAACTGCACACTTAATGTATCAGAAATCACAATGCTCTGTTTGCCTGAATACGAGAAAAAGGCAGTTGCAAACTTTAGCAAGTGAAAACCTAGAAGCGTCTTCAGTTCATACACTAGAGTGACAAATGACTACAGTCAAAATGTCTTTATCACCACTAAACAGTACAATAATGGACAAAGTTATCAGAACAAGATATTTATGTAGTTGGTACAAAAGACAATAAGATCATTCTAATATCTACAAACAAAAGCTAATAATACAGCACTTTAAAATAATGAAATACGTATTTTATAGACAGGCATTGTTCAGGCATCAAGAATGTTACACCTTTACATTGTTGAAAATAACAGCACTGAAGTATGCTTTACATGTGCCATTTTTCGGCGAACGAAGCTTTATGGCCAACCCTGTGCCCCTATTTTGTAGCATAAAAAAGGTATTATTTTGTCAAATTTGACAAATTTCAAATGACCTTCTCACTCTGCTATCAGTATCAGACGCCGTGATGAACCACTTTTCATACCCAAGATAAAAGGTACATTCAAAGTTGTGTATCTTTTAACCTCTGATTTTGTTTAAGGTAAAAGACGAGAAGGCAAAGGACTAACTAACAAGATGGCTTAGGGAAACCAAAGGTTCATCCCCGAATTAACCAAAGCCCTCCACCTGTCCCTGGCCTGGGCCAACAAAATTCTTTCACCTTCAACTCCTATCTCCCATAAATCCCGCCTGAGATTATCCTCCCATCTACGTCTAGGTCTCCCCAGCGGTCTCTTCCCCTCAGGCTTCCCAACCAATACCCGGTGCACACATTTCGCCCCATCCATGCGCGCCACATGTTCCACCCATCTCATTCTTCTTTACTTAAATACCCTGACACTACCGGGGGAGGTCAACAAATCTGTTAACTCATTTTTCTGCAGATTTCTCCAGACCCCATCGTCTTCTCTCCTAGGCCCAAATATCCTCCTCAACACCCTATTCTCAAACTCCTGCAATCTGTGTTCCTCCCTCAGAGTGAGAGACCATGTTCCGCACCCATACAAAACAACAGGCAAGATTATTGTTTTGTACACTTTAATTTTCAGGTTCTTAGACATCAGACGGGAAGACAAAATGTTTTGAACTGAGAAGTAGCAAGCATTTCATGAATTTAGTCTCCTCCTAACTTCCTCATGAGTATCATTTTGATTTGTTATTGTTGTTCCCAAATATTTGAACTTTGTAGCACTTTCAAAGGATTTATCAACCACCCTAAGATAATTCTGCCCGCCTATCTGCTGACGACGAGATACTAACATGTACTTAGTTTTTTCTGAATTTACTTCTAGCCCCACCTGTCTACTAGCTTCTACTAAAACTTATGTGTTCCTCTTTAGCAAAATAGGAGTTACCACATTAAATTTAAGATGTGTCTAGTCTAAATATATTATGTATCGGATCTATCAAAAAGCATTTCCGGCTCTTTAGATAGGGCAGTATTTCAAACCACGTTATATCTGCGCAACGAAAAGCGCATCACTGCAATGCCTTCTCTTATGCAGGGTATGGAGTTTTAAATACTGTTTAGCGTTAACGTAGCTGTAATGCACATGGGGAGGAATCGATAAGGGCAAAGGGCTGCAAACTTCTGCTGGATGCGTTCCAGTTTGTTGGCGTCAGTAGTCACAATATAATCCCAAACGACCGAGGCGTACTCGAGCTTGGATCTAACTAAGGTTACATATAACATATACAGGCAATCGAGAGAAGAGAACGAAAAGGTTAATGTGCGAACAAGACCCAGAAACTTAATACACTATAAATATATGTAGTCAACATGGCTGTGGAATCGGAGTTTAGAGACAACAAACTTTCCCAGGACTTTAATAGCGTCGGTGCCTGTTGTAGAGGACTGAAAAGTTTATAATCGAAGATATAAATTGACAGTGGAACCACGGTTCCGGAGAATCTGACGTAAATACGTCTCTGTATTTAAATTATATTTAAGCAATAAATACAATGAATGTAATGTAATGAAATGAAATGTAATGTCAAAATTATCTAGTCTACGACGTACTTCTACAAGCGACTCACAGCTCAGCTCTTTCCGCAAAAACGTAAGCGAGTTTTTGACGGCAGTAATGTAACACAACAATACAGAGTAAACAGATGAAGTTTCCTAGGTAACACAACAATTCACGCAAGCTGACCATTGTTGTCGGTCTATATTTACACATTGTTGTTATGGATTTACACGTTTTCCTAGGTAACAACAATACCGAGTAAACACTACGTTCCATAGGTAACCATTGTTGTCGATTTGTTGATACGGATCGTACACATTTTCGTTACACGTTTTCCTTTCACTTTCTTGCCGAATGACCCTTCCGTATATTATTATTATTATTATTTATTATTGACTGCAAATGGGTTTATACCCGGTGGCAGTGTCCTACAATAACATACAAAACAATGAGACAGAACAGAACAATGAGATACATCAACACAATGAGACAGAACAAAACAATAAACAAAAGGACACAACAAAACAATATGACACCCAAACAATGGGATATATCAACACAATGAGACACAACAAAACAATAAACAAAGGACACAACAAAAACAATAAGACACAATAAACAATGAGATACATCAACACAGAGACAGAACAAAACAATAAACAAAAGGACACAACAAAACAATATGACACCCAAACAATGGGATACATCAACACAATGAGACACAACAAAACAATAAACAAAGGACACAACAAAAACAATAAGACACAATAAACAATGAGATACATCAACACAGAGACAGAACAAAACAATAAACAAAAGGACACAACAAAAACAATATGACACCCAAACAATGGGATACATCAACACAATGAGACACAACAAAACAATAAACAAAGGACACAACAAAAACAATAAGACACAATAAACAATGAGATACATCAACACAGAGACAGAACAAAACAATAAACAAAAGGACACAACAAAAACAATATGACACACAAACAATGGGATACATCAACACAATGAGACACAACAAAACAATAAACAAAGGACACAACAAAAACCATAAGACACAACATACAATGAGATACATCAACACAGAGACAGAACAAAACAATAAAAAAGGACACAACAAAAACAACACATCCCACTCAAAATCAACCAACTCATAAATTACAAAACCATCCAACCTCAAGTACTTAACTTAAAAAAAAGAACTTAATACCACCTAGACATAAGACAATAACTGTAATGTATTACAAACGTCATGAACTGATGCACTCACACAACAATACAATGAGACACAACAATACAACATACCACACTCAAAATAAAACATCTGACACACAATAAAAAAACACACATCCACTAATTAATCACAATACTTAAGAGTGGAATATAAAGTCCGCTCTCAGTACATGAAAATTTTATCCCAAAGAACTACAGCCCTTCATCACTTGGAGACTAAGACACTTCACTTCACTTATCACCATTTATTCCCAACTTAATAACCCTTAGCTTGTAACTACTTTTCTGACCCTCTTTCTAAAGGTGCCTAATTTACAGGGGAAAGACTCTAGCACGCCTGGAGGTAATTGGTTCCAGCTTCTTATGGTCCTATTTACAAAGGAATATTTGCCTACATCCGTTCTTTGTTTCCTAGTCCTAATTTTCCGAGTATGATCGTCCCTGCCCAGGTAGCATGGCTTTAATAATCTATCCTCTATCATTTTCCAAGCCCGGCCCCCCGTGTATGCTTTGAAAAGGGCGCACATTCGGGCTATCAATCTACGCTGTGCCAATGTTTCCCAACCAGATTCGTTCGTGAAATTAGCAAATTTAGCCGCTCTCTTCTGCACCCGATTTAGTGCTCTTACCTGTCCTTCCCTGTAAGGGTCCCAACACACAGCTCCATATTCAAGTATCGGTCTCACTAGCGACGTATAAGCTAAACGTTTCGTATTGTTATTTCCCTTTTTTAGTATACGCATTACGAAATGGAGAGCCTTCCATGCTTTAATTAGTGTATAATTCACATGATCTGCCCAGCTCAGATCACTGCGAATAAGTATTCCTAAGTACTTAAAGCTATTTGCCTCTGGAATTAATTGATCCCCAAAAAAGTAACTCAGCTTATCCTTCACCCTAGCTCTATTGAAGCTGACTGCTTTACTTTTACCTGGATTTATCTTCATTTCATTTTCTACCGCCCATTCCCATAATCTATTCATATCTGTCTGTAACTTATCAATGTCACTACTATCCATTATTTTCCTGTATACTATACAATCATCAGCGAAAAGCCGTATATTTGAATCAATGTTTTTCCAAATATCATTAACATAAGCTAGGAATAGCAAGGGACCTAATACGCTCCCTTGCGGCACTCCTGACGTTACCCTGACTTCATGAGATAGCTGTCCTTCCACTCTTACTCTTTGCGAACGTCCTAAGAGAAATTCCTTTACCCATAACACTACCCTCAAGTCCACACCGGTTGCAGCAATTTTTGTAATCAGCCTATCGTGTGGGACTAAATCGAATGCCTTTGAGAAATCTATTATAACCGCATCAGTCCTGATTCCCTCGTCCAATGAATCAGCAACATCTTGACAAACCGTGACTACTTGACTTTCGCATGAGTACCCTGGTCTAAACCCATGTTGACCCTCATATAACCACTCACTCCTTTCCCAGACTTGCCTTAGATACCCTGCTATAACGTGCTCCATTTGCTTGCAAACCACCGAGGTTAAACTGACCGGTCTATAGTTCCCAACTACCGATCGATCTCCCCCTTTATAAATAGGGACCACTATAGCTTTCTTCCAGTCCCCTGGGATAGAATTGTTGTTCATCGTTACCTCCAGCAGACGCGCAAGGTATGGAATCATTGCTTCCCCACCTAACTTTAAAATTTCCCCGGGGATGCCATCTGGTCCGACGGATTTATTTTTCCCGATTGCTGCTATCCGTTTCCTTATGATATTGATACTAATGGTAAACGTTTTATCTGAATCTGTTGATTGGATAAGCTGGTTAAGCTGGACGTATTTACGTCAAAAACAGTAATTGGGATGTAAATGAAGATATGTAAATGTAATAATCATTAATAATAATGTAAATAGGAATTTCTTACCTCACTGTTTGTTCAAGCGAAAGAGACCTCGTTGTCCACCAGCAAAAATAAAATGGAGAGAGTGGAGTAAAGTATCACAAACTGTTAATAAGATATGTACTTGGGTTATTCTGAAAGGTTTATAATAGCACAAAAGTATCTCGTCTACGACGCACTTCTTCTACGAGCGATTCAAAGCTAAGTTCTTTTCACACTAACAACAGCCGATTGTTGATGACAGTATAAACTAATACAACAATGCAGAAGAAAACTGTGACGTAACAATTATTGTTTCTTCCATACAGAAATGGAGTGCATTACAGTCTATTCAGCCAATTATATTGCACACAGAGATTAATAATAAAAATAAAACAAATTCTTCAGAACTCGTTAAAAAGCTTTAACAAATTTCATGGATCATGAAATCTAATGTGGAAGAATTATTTTCGCATATACGCTCCTTTTATTAATCATTTGATGCCGAAGCTCGTCTAAACATCATTGAAAAAATTTAGTCCGTACCGCAAAGAAAACACTACACTTCACCATTACAAAGATCAACCGGTTACTGAATTTTAAGGAAAGACGAAAAACGCGAAATTATCGAGAAAGAACGACTCTAGATAAAGCGCTCCGAAAGGAGCGCGTTGCTCTAGTAGACTATAATGTACGCAATGTGTTTTCTTTTATTTGTATGATAAAGCCGATGGCAGAACTCGATTCAGCGATTTTGGCCGCTGAGATTTGTGAATTGGAATCTCGGAGCGAGTTTGTGGAAGGGATGGCAGAGAGTAATATATAATTTTATCTTCTTCACAACTCTTCGGTCCTCTTCCAAATTTTCCACTCCTGAGAGAGTTTCGATTTCTGACATATCACACGATTCATCACCACCGCCGCTGCTGTCCAATCCATTATCTTCAATTATAATGCATTCAATAGCGTCTTCAATTATGCCTTCTTGTTCATAATTAATTTTTTCTAGTTTTTACACATGCCGACATATATTCTCCCATTCCTCTTGCCCAATTTATTCGAATCTCTGGCGACATAGTAGCTCGACGTCCTTAATTTTAAATGTCGTGTTCTTGCTTGCAACCCATTATTTTACATCTGCCCAAATAAGATCAATGGTACGGCGGAAGTCTGAGCAAAGTACGTTCTTTGTCTGCAGAAATATGATCTATCACATAACATTTTTGCTTTGACTTATTTGATTTGATGAAATCGTGCAGTTGAGCTTTCAAGACGTCACAAAATGGGATGTTTTTTTTCCAATAGCCAGGCTTTTATTTCGTCCTTCTTTGACTAAGATATCGGTGGTTTGTCTGTCTGAGTGTTGTGATTCGAGGCGTTATCAATGACCAAATAGGAGATTGCAAGGAACAGGTGGCATGCTGATATCACAGCACAGTCACAAGACAACAATATCAGGCTTCCACACTGCTGTACTGACGCAGACTGTACAGAACGACGGAAACTCCTACCTTCCTTCCTTCATTGAGTGGTCCGCATATTGGGCTCTCCCTACAAAGTCAGCGGCCATAATCGCTGAATCGAGTTCTACATGCATGGATTAGCACTTTTTTCGAATTGTCGTGAAAACTAAGTTGTCGGTGAAGTTCAGTGCGTAACAGTAACCACAGCAGCTTGTTGCGTTTCATTTTTAAACGATGATGAACCAACTGACAAGTGTGAAATCTTCATATTAACTGCTGGCATCGAAGTGAAGAAATGTAAATTCTGTGTCTGTAAATTAAAATCGTAGAAGGTCAATGTACGTGATCCTACTTTATTAAAAGGCGCCGGAAAAACTTTTTGATAGATCCGATACATGATATATTTAGACTAGACGCATTTTAAATTTAATTTGGTAACAATTATTTTGATAAAGAGGAACACCAAAGCTTTACTTGACGTTAGTAGAAACTTGAGAATGAGTGAGGTTTATCGAGCTTTTCCTCAGTTTTAAGTCAAATACAAGGGTATAATTCAAAAGGAGGATGGCCCTCCAACCACAAATCATTGAGGCCTTCAGCTGACATGAACCCCCCCACCCCAATTCACAGAGCGACCTCTGTGTTCAAATTCCAGAGATCCATCCAATCAAAATACTTTTCATGAACTACAAGTTGCCTGACGGGAAAACCTCCCACCAGCAGGAACAGACCCTGAATAGTCGAGGCTTACCCCGAGTTAAGGGCCCCGGTCCACGACTCCGTGTGAACCCCCGTTTTTGTTATAAGTCTCTGTTTATCAATTCCAGCTATGCTTTCCTTACGCAAGAATGGCGCTACCTAGCAAGGAACGATGTCTTGCTCTTGCGCAGGACTCTGCCCTTAGTTAGCTTTTTGGTTCTGCTATGTCCAGAGACAGGGACTAGCTCTATTGATTGGGCCCAACATAGTCGGATTTTTACCTGGAGACGGAGAAAGGCCCCAGTCTCCGAAACGTCGTTTACATTGGTTTTTGGTATTGGACGATGGATAAAGCCCAAAAAATATTTTCCTTTATCATCTTAAGAGAGACTGGAACTCTGGAAAATTTTCGGCTCTGTGACCTTAGATCCTGTAATTTCCTGTCCGAAACGAAAAAATTTTGCCTCGGCGTAGTTCTGTTATCGCGGTTGCGTTCCTGTAAACAGAAACCATCCATGTCAGGAATCGAATCCAGTGTCGAGGCGTTTGTTTTTGTAATTTACTCTTCCTGGCGTCGTTGTCCGATCATCCCATGCCGGAAATCGAACTCACGACACGTTTCCCAGAGTTCTGACCCACAGTGTTCTCTCAATTGTCCTAAGGAATAATTACGCCAGTTTTCATCTTCAAAAGCCACAAGCGAACGAGTAAAGAAATGTCAACGCTCAATTTCGACCTCTGCAGTATTTACAAAGGAATACCGAATATTTTTAAATTTAATCTCTTTTTATAGGAAAAGTACTTAGTATTAATTATTGACTTCTTACATTTAAGATTGAATGTAACGAAATTATAAGCTAGAGTAATACTCTTTGTATTTTTTCAACTACCAACAATGGTCAGCTTTTATATGAACACCTGCGTGTATTACAATGCAAGAAAAAGCATTGGAATTTCCAACAAACGCCTGCAACAATCTTGGTTGAGCATGCCATAAGGCTCTTTTCTCGTTTTTTATGCATGCAGTATAATTGCCTAAATGAACCGTATTGCACTCCATTCTCTTACCTAAGAAACTGATTGTTACGTCATGTGTTTACTCCGCATTGTTGTATTGATATATATTGCCGTCAACAATCCGCTTTCGTCATTGTGGAAAGAGCTTTGCAGTGAATCGGTTGTAGAAAAAGTGCGTTGCAGAGTAGATAATACTGTGCTGTTAAAAACGTTTTAGAATACCACAAGTATTTATCTTATATAAGAATTATTAAGAAATCTGTGATACTGCCCTCACTCTCTCCATTTTATTTTTGACTAAATTGGTCATTTCCCGTGGACATCGTGGTCTCTTCCTCTTGAAAAAAAAGTTTGAGGTAAGGAATTCCTAATTGTTATTATTATTATTATTATTCACATTTACGTGTTTTCATCTGCATTTTTGTGAATTCGTGTAAGAGAATTAGTCTTGTCTTCTTTTTTAACACAATTTCGAGTAATATTATATTGACTTCTGTTTGTTCACGGCATCATTGATAGTAAAATAATATTCCAGGAGGCAATTAACATTTTACAATTTTCAAGGAATAAAATGTGTTTCGTAGCCCAGAATCTTAATAAAGGTTTATGGATGCTAGGAAGTGGGGTACATATTATGAATAATAATTCTAAAACTTTACTTCTCTTGATATATCGACATTATTAAAGCGTTTTAGGGAACTGTGACGTATTATTATTTCGGTTTAAGAAGCCTAATTATCGATGAATCTCCCTTTTACTATCTCCCTACATCAACAGATTCAATCCGGGGAATTTTTGCTGTTATTGGGTGCAAAGTATTTATGGCTACAAAACGTGGTCTTTCACTGTGAGGGAGGAACATAGACTGAGAGTCTCTGAGAACAGAGTGTTGAGGAAGATATTTGGACCAAAAACGGGAGTAGGACAGATAATAAAGAGATATGCATGACGAGCTCCAGGGCCTGTGCTCCTCACCGGATGGTAGTTTAGGTGAGTTGGGCCGGGGAGGGCAGTTTACAAGTTATTGGTTGGGAGGCCTGAAGGGAGGAGACCTCTGGGAAAACCTCAGCGTCGATGGGAGGATAACATTATGATGGACCTTAGGGAGATGGGACTCGATGGGGCGAACTGGTTGCAACTGGCTCTGGATAGACCCTGGTGGCGGGCTTTCTGAACACGATAATGAACCTTCTGGTTCAGTAAAAGAAGTGGGCTATCTTTTGATGGAATATCTTTTCATGGAATATCTTGCACATTTCAGTGTGTGAGTAGCGTGATCTACGCATGCGTTATAACAACTTAGATCTTTTGTGGTTGTTCCCAACTGTAATTCTCGCGTTAATTGATAAATTTAAATTACATTTTGTGCTTTTAGTGTATATAAATTTGTAATTTAGGCAGGAAAGTCCTTACTCTAGTAGGCTCTTAAGCACTTTTAGTTCTACAGAGAGAGAAGAACTCGAAAATTTTATGCTTATGAAAAGGTGTAGCCTTCTTTTTCCAGAATTTATTTGTTAGCTGTCTGGTTCTGTATCAAAGGTCACGCAATTTATATGGTATATTTTTGTTGTAATTTTCTTCAATCGGTTCATCAGTGTAGAGGCATCTAAGACTTTATGGATTACATTGATATTTTATACCTAATGTCTACGTATAAGAAGATTTAAATTTATGCCTGTTATGAAAAAACAAGCGGTATGACTTATTATTATTGCCTAAATCAGTTACATCTTCAGGGTAACTGCTCCAAGAAGAGTGAGATGAGCGGGGCATGTGAAATGCATGGATGGGGCGAGAGGTGTGCACCGGGTATTTTTGGAAAGCCTGAGGAGAAGAGGCCGCTGGGGAGACCTAGACGTAGATGGGAGGATAATCTCAGGCGAGATCTATGGGTCATAGGAGTTGAGGGGGACTGGATTTTATTGGCAGAGGACAGGGTCTGATGGAGGGCTTTGGTTGGTTCTGTGATGAAACTTCGTGTTCCGTAAGCCGTCTAGGTAGTTAGTTAGATTAGTCACATTTAGAGCTTTGTCATTTTGTATTGAATTTCAACAGGCATTTCTGTAACAAAGAAACAGACTGAGTCCATGGAGCCGAAGACCTGCTTGAGAACTTAACAGTAGCCCAGGTAATCAAGGGTCTCGTCTTTTATGAAACATGAAGTTTCATGTCCGTGTTTACAATACCCCGCCTCTAATCCGCATCCACAAGCCACATCTTAATTCCCCACCTCTCTAAGATTCATTTTAATATTATCCCAGCAACGCATAGGACTCTCAAGTGACCTTTTCCTTTCAGGTCTTCCGATTTAATATTTGCACTTCTTGTCTCTGCCATGTGTACCATATGCCCCGCCCATCCCATCACCCTTGATCTGACAGCCTACAATTTATTAATTAGTGAATAGATTTATAAAGCTCCATATTATGAAATGCCCTTGTCAATAACTCTCTCGCAGGACCAGATATTATTCTCAGTACCGCGTTCCCTCTCAGTCACTCTCAGTTCATGTGCACACGCGTCAGTATGAAGAAAAACCTGTAATAGCGATGTACTGTCTTTTCATTAGATGGAGTCAAACCAACATCGCAGCTGTTTCCAAGTCGGCGGCAAGTGCACCGAAACATTGGTCCCTCTGAACGAGCTGAGACAGAATAACCGCTTTTGTGACGCGATGTTGAGGTTGGATGACGGCGGCTTCGTTCGAGTCCACAGAGAGTTTCTGTCAATGCGCAGCGCATATTTCAGGTTTGTTTATTTACTGATCTGGTTAATTAACACGTGAAATAAGGACACAATAGACGTCAATTAGTGTGTGAAATGATTTATCCCCTTTGATGCAGAAACCTGTATTTTTATATGGCTATTTGTCTGTTGTTATTTGTTCATTGTCATGAAATCTGACGGCGGTGAGGAAGAAGAATGTCTTCTGGGCGTTGCGCCGTAGAAACTGAGTGACATTTCAGACGTACTTACTGCCTTCTTACCTTGATGATGGAGGCAGTAAGCACCTCTGAAACGTCCGATAATTTCTACGAGACAATACGACACAACATCCCTGAAGACGTACGTGGTCTTTTGTAATAATTTTTAAGTGCTGTTGTACCAAGGTGACAGTCAATCGATCTGGAGGGAGAAATAGAATCCCTTTCCAAAACGACCGACAAAGTCCAGAAGAAAGTTAGTAATGCACCTTCGAAACGCCATTGTCCGGAACACTGAAAGCTGCTGTCTGTCTGAAATTAACTGTAACAAAGACCTTCGGGAGAAATGTTTCATTGTTAGGAGTGAATCGCTCGAGAATTTGTGCATACTTTAATCTGCGGTGCGTTCTTTAAATGAGAAATGAAATTTAACCGTGAATCATTGCTTTTGTTTTCCAACAGACGTTTGTCACGTCATGTTACAAGTTGTGCCCCTCTTTAAGTTTTCCGACAATCAAATCTTTCTCTTTGCCTTGCATTGCAACGCTCTTAAATTGTAATAGGAAATGTTTTGATGGTTGGTGATCACTTATTGAAGGCCGCGTAGAAACATCGGTTTTTCTTTTAAGTTTTTTATTGTCGGGAAAATGTTTTGACAGAGCAAATAAATTTCATATTACGAACTGATCAATCAGCGGAATGTACAACCTGCGATGTTTGTGGAAATATTTGTGTAACTTTGCTGGTTGGCTTTAAAATTTCTAGAATAGTTGTTATAATCTCAGATATCTCTTGAAGGGTATGTAAGAAACGAGGTGACCATTCCATAGCTCTTCAGTTCGCTGCTTGCTATCCAATTTGTAAGTTATATTCTGTTAAGTCTCCGCACGCTCTACATCCTCTGGCAGTCAGTCTGGTCCCATTCGTACTCATTCTGGGAGTTTTTTTTAAATATTCAGGTAACAAAAATTCGTCTATCACACTGACAAATTGATACTTTTATTTGACTACGTGAGTTATAAAAACTCAAAGTTTATACGAATGGCTTGTAATTTTCTGCTCGCCGTTTCTCCAAATCGACTATTGCTTCGTGACGTTTCAGAAACCTCTTCACGACAATACTGCACACCAGTGAGAAGGCTGATGTTGTCCTCCACGGAGTCAGCTCAGACATAATGACCGAGATACTAGATTATGTTTATTTTCGCGATGTGGACATCCGCTC